TTCAAGAAAAGACTTTAAAAACCCTTCCAACATTACTCTTTTCAGCGTTTATCGGAATTGTGCGACAAAAAGCGCAAATGCACCGTTTACGTAGACACGACTACGTTCGAAGACGATCCGTGTCCTTCGACATCCAAATATCTGCAAATGAGCTACAAATGCCGGCCAAGTGAGTCTCCACACTTTTCTCAGCACTTTAAAGACAACCCACCATCCATGTGTTAATCCGCCTTTCGCCAACGTTCCCTTGTCCATTATTAATGAGATTTCGTAATTGATTTGGATTAATTGAACTGCGCCAGTGGAGCGAGCGCCTAATTAGCGCGGCGAGTCACCAGAAGAGATGCTTGAGGGCTTCTCGGAGGCGTTTTATGGCTTGAGCTCAGCGTTTCTTTACAGTACTCTTCGACGGCGAGTCGTTTTGCGAGGGAACGGAAATGCAGCTCGAATGTCGAGAGGGCCGACGACTGGCCATGTACTCGGCCATCTACGGACGTAGCTCGAAGGGTCAAGCAGCGCATTGTCCGGCTCCAGTTCACTTTGGAAGAGGTTAGAGGTGCTTCATTTTGCAAAAAATGGGGAAATATCGGCCTTGTGACGATGTACATACGTCACTACTTGACGGCAATTTTGCAATAAAAAAATGGAGAGGTGTGGAAGGCGAATATTGCAATGTCAATATAGTTTTTGGCAAAGTTGCATGTATTTTGATTTCGGCGCGCAAAGCATGAAATAATGCGCTCCACGGCCATTTACGCGCAGATGTTGCCGGCATTACAAATATTTTTTCGCGCAAGTGTTATCACCACTGCAAGGGCACTACGATGATAAATCTGATTTTTTATACACGAAATGCACTTCAGTATACACTCCTTTCGACAGCTGTCTTTTTGATGAACTGTTTCCGCAGCCAAAGCTCAAATATCAGAGTTAACCAAAAATTAGAGACATGGGTAATTTTCATGGAAATACCGGCTTTTGTGGATGTTTCTATGTTCTGCTTCATCAAAACACTCACTTTTTTACTTCTGATTTTCGTCCAAACAAGAAATTGAATGGTTTTCACAAATAACTTGATTTTTCCTCATGATTTTCCTAAGTTCAAAAACAGGCTTTTTACGTTATCTGCTGAGTTTTGCAACTTTGAGTTTTTTTTGAAGGGGATTCCCCAACTTATGCTCGCTGTTGCTGAAGTGCTCAAGTTCTCCACTTGAAGATCTCGTGAGACTTTTCTGAATCACTAGCTTACGCTTCTTCTCTGTCCTCCGACTAGAACCTCAAAGTGTTCGTTTTCCTGCGATGAAGGGTATACGTCAAAATCCTGTGAACGGTAGTAGGGGGGAGGGATCGCCTAGCCTGAGGGTATACTGCAGCCGTTGACCAGGAGTGCAATAATTGTCGAGTGTGTCCCTGGAGAGGCCAGTCGTATTCGATTGTGTTAAGAGCCTGGCTAATGATATGTCAGCAGCTAGTCGACGAGCCAACGAATGGGCTTTATTGCAATTTCGAGATGAATGGGCTAAGGGTCCCTTTGAGACAAGATGCCTAAGCGATTTCTTGATAGTGAAGAGATTGAACATTCAAGAATTAATTTCAGACTGCACAAGGGATGTGCTTCCGATTCTGCTCACCAAATGCCATGCTCAATCAGGGTGTTCGTTGACTGTGAATTCTGAGGTGCTCGGCTCTCCTTGTCCAAAGGACGTTCCCTCCTACCTTAATATACTCTTTATGTGTGGTGGGTGGATAATCCATAACTTTCGTTTTCTTAAAACAAAACTTGGTAAGATAGGAATTTTTCAGTCAACGAAGAAGTCTTCAACGAGGACGCAATCAAGGGAGATTTTGAGTTTTTGCAGAAATTTATCAAGGTATGTTTTTTT